AACACAGCCGGACAAGTAAGAGCGATCATGGTTCAGAGTCCAAGTGTTCTAGTGATGATGGGCGTCGCAAACAATGCAAAAGTGAACGCGAAGCAGAAGATGAAATTGGTGATTCGGGTCATGATGTCCAGCAAGTCGCATTCAACGCCACTGATAATGGCTTCTTTCATCATCACGATCCATCCATGTACTTTGACCCGAATCGCCGAGGTGGCCCAACACCGCAAGACCCAAGGTTCATGTGGCACCAGCACCCGTACCCGCCAACTGGCAAACTCTCGGATGGTCGTGTAATGCCATCGTCTCACCACGAACCCGGGGGCAATCCAAGGTATCCTGACTACAGGTGCCCTCCTTATCCCAGCCATCCAGTTGTGGGTCACCCGTATGATCCGTATTGGCATCCATACTGGGCCCAGCAAACGGGATTTCACCAACAGATGGATCCCAGGTTGAGAAGAGGTCCGAGCCGAGGAGGAACTGATGGTCCGTCGTCCGTGGCTCATCCGGGGTCTGGCAAGGATGGTTCGCATTCTGAAGCTGGCGGAGGTGATCAAAGAGAAGGATCCTTGCAAAATCCACGTTCGTTGCGGCGTCGCCACAGCATTGGAAGCGCCCATTCACGCGATGCGATTATGCACGAAGTGACAGTCTCGATACAGCAGGATCAGAAGACTTGGTTGAACAGGTGCAGTCAGTGTGGACAGAGCGTCATTGATTGCCGATGTAGTAATCTCCATCACGAGGATGAGGCAATCCAGGGAAACGATGATCATGGTCGACCTCGAGACCTGGAGTCTCGGTTGGGCTCCTCCTCCCACCAAGATGTCTCCTTGTTTGACACTTTTGGTATCCGAAATCCCAATGCACAGAAGCGAGGAATGGGCAGTCATAGCCGGATCGACGGAGAGTTCCATGCGTCGACTCACATGCATCCGGGTTTCTATCGTCCACCACCATTGCAACCTCTGTACCGTCGACCGGAAGGATTCGACGTGATCGATTACGTCCACATGTCCAACACACAACGATTGGCTGGTTCCATGTCCCAGAACAACCATCGGGGTCGTACCTTTCAGCGATTTCAAGAACAACAAGAGCAACCGCAGGACGAAGCAGTCACCGCGGGTCCCATGAAAAACGCGTCGCAACTGTCTTCATCCGAGAAAAGTAGAGCTGCCATGGAAGCCCGGCGGGTGGTGGTTGACGATGGTTCGTTGCGCTATCCACCGATGCGATCTTTCAGTTTCGGAAGCAAGTCGGGACGGAGATCCACCTCGGGGCGTTTCTCTGTGATGAGCGAAGGTTCCATTGCATCCTTTGCCGTCTAGCTAGCTAGCTTGTCGGTAAATAGGAAGATTGGTGGTCGTTATAAGTGATTCGCAGCATAAAATAGGTTACTAAATGGGGATCGAAGGCTAAGCGTCATTTCTGCAGCGGATACCGTACACGTAGGTTTGAGCCCATTGCCTCCCAATCAATCGATGAGCTCCAGGCCACATGCTAGAATTTACGCAACCGGTCGGCAAGAGTGTCACTACCGGTAGCTAGTCTCCATGCCAATCCCTCTCCAATAGCGTAATGGAACCGCTGCGCCGGGCGCAAAACTCCTGCGGCTCCATCAAGCCGAATTCCTCGAAGGCCAGAATGCACCTGATCTCGATCTCTAGCTACGGTAGCAGCTAGCTACTAGCTGCTACCGTAGCTAGCTAGTTGGGCGATCTACTTTTCTCAGATTTGCAGGTCCCAAGAGGAGTCTTTTCAGAGAGGCCACTAGCTAGCTAGCTACTGGTGCACTTCTACATGTACTACGAAAGAGTTTTTATTTGGTTTGTGTCAATAGATCAAATGGATTCTATTTTTTACTATTTTAACCATTGCCATGCCAAGAACTACATGACCACCACACACCATTTCTCTGCTTATTCTAGCTAGCCGAAAAGGCAACCAGAACAGAGGGGAAAATAATATTCAATCAATCAACGATTTCATAATACTATTTGGAGCTTAGCCTCCCTTGGTGGCAGCAAAGACTTTGGGAGCAACGCACTTGTCGACACAATGATGCAATTCAAAGTACCACGCCTCACAGTCCCCTTCGCCTGATTTCGCAATACGACTCTTGCAGGCTTCGTACAGAGTATTTTGCTTGGGGCAAGTTGGCAAACATGCCTCCCTAATCTTGGGCATTGGGTCCATGGATCTTCAGCCTTATATCAAAAAGGAGTAGTAAAAATAATGCAGAAAACGTGTGGGCGACACGGGATGAGAAATTCATTGGATTGGCTCACAAAAAAGACAACGCCGCGTCTCTAATTTTTCTGGGAACAGCAGCAGTACTCGTAGCGCAACAGCTTGCAATAGAGCCTCATGGAGACCGTATACCAGGTACAGACAAATGGATGGGAAGCGCCCACCACCATCGGCGTATCGGGCCGCCACTCAACGAGACCCAGACGTCTCGGAGAGAGATCCAGAGAAGCAATCGCCTCACAAAATCACAATCTACACAGCTGATCGCAAAAGCCATTGCTCCAACTCACCATGGTTCACTCTCCTCTTCAACAGCTCAACTACGGGTGTTGCTGGTTGTCGGTTGTATCGGCGGCTCCTCGTTGCCTTTCGTTTGTTGGCTGCCGATGGAATGGATCCAAGGGCTGTGACGCGTGGGTTGCGTTGCCTTCCTTCTGAGGGAGCGCTGACCAGAATGCGTTCGGAACTCCGCGGATTTAGCTCTAACTCTACGCTTCTTGCCGCCAGTCGAGCATCACTCAAAAACAAAAGTCGCGAACCAACGACCAGAAACAAACGCCGACACTGGCACTTCGACTTGACGAGGCAACAAACGAACCAACGAACTGACGAACAAACGAACAATCAACGACGACACTTCGACTTTGAAGGGAGACAATTCAGAATAGTACTGGTATTTGTCCAACGTAAACAGCATAGCAGTCCGTCCCAAGAACCAATACAAGCCAGCGTTCAGCGTCGGCCTTCTTTGCGCCTCGACTTCAAGACGTATCGTCCGGCCGTTTTCAATCCCAACACTAAACAATGTCCACCAATCCCCCCAAGAAATCACCAGCAGATGATTTGATTTGTCCCATCAGTTTGGAATTGCCCTGGGAACCAGTCATGGCCGAGGATGGCCGAGTCTATGAGCGGGAATGTATTGAGGAGCACATCAAGAAAAACCATCACAATCTCACATCCCCCATCACCCGAGAAGAAATGGGAACCCGTCTCTTCCCAGCCATTCAGCACCGCAATACCATAGAGACTTTGGTGGAGTCTGGTGTCATTGATGGGGACTTGGCTGACAAATGGAATGAAAAGGTGGAACAGAAGAAGGAAATGGAAAAATTGCTGAAGAAGGCAGAAGCCGGTGATGGAAGTGCAATGTATAGCGCAGGAATCAAGTATGGAAGTGGATTGGACGGTTTCAAGAAAGACAAGAAGTTGGCCTTTCAGTGGCACAAGAAAGCTCATGAGGTTGGGGATGTCAGAGGCAATGCATTGATGGGTTGGTGCTATCTGCATGGGACAGGCGTGGCCAAGCAACACTCACTTGGGCTTTTTTACCTTATTGATGCAGCATCCCAAGGATCAAACTTTGCAGCCTATGACTTGGGAATGGCATTTGACAATGGAAACTATGGCTTCAACGTGGATAAAACAGAATCCATCCGTTGGCTGGAGAAGTCACTTGGGAACTGTCCCCACATGCATCTGGCTGTTTCAGGCACGAATGAAGCCCGGCAGAAACTGGATGAACTCAAGGCCTCAGCACCTGCAAGTTCTGCAACCTCCTGAATTTGCAGACTACTACTACTGGTGAAAACTCCTGTCAGTGTGGGAGGATGGATGGAAGGGCTCTGTTTTTGAGTGTTTACACAGGAGCAGAGGATTTATGTGATTGCTGGATTGTTTTTATGAATCTTTCCAGGCTGCAAGTCAATCGTTTTGGTTGTAAAGATTAGTCCTTTTTATTATTATTTATACGAGCAGCTTCGATTTTATTGATGCAAACGCGTGCCGACCTCCATGGTACACATCTACTCGAGCTCTCGTAGAAGTGTACGAGAAAACCTGGCACGCGTTTGAATCTTTAAAACGAAGCTGCCTGTATTACGGTTCAAGCATTATTATGGTTCTAGCTAGCTGGATGCCAGCTAGCAATAGCTGCATGTCGCTAGCCACCCAGCTTAGGCCTGATCTACGCAACTATGCATACATTAGGCGCAGCTTTCGCTCCCTCTGCATTGGGCGTACCGGTACTCACAGCAAGCAGCTAGCTTCTTTACTTCTAGAAGGATGAGGGTAATGTAGAAACTTGGCCATTTGTTGTGCCAAGTGTCCCCAAAGCAAACCCAGATGAGGGGCGTTGCGACTGGGGCAAGTTCCTACGATAATAGCAAAATCTGATCTTTAGAAGTAAGTTTACTCTCAAACTTCCGTGCAGGCATTCGTCATTATGCATACATGTAGTGGGCACCAAGGTGTCCTGAGTGGCAGCCTTGGGCCAGTCCAGCAGGGAGTAAGCGGTGGGTTATTTTCTGGCTACCGGTACTCTAGAGTACCAGTAGCTGGGCAAGACAGATCCTTGTAGAACTGAGATTTTGGGAGGGAATTTCCTCTAGCTAGCTTGCGGAGGAGATTCTTGGGAGCAAGGGTTTCACATAAAATTTTAACGCGATCTTCCTATGTCATTTGGAACTCTGCGGAATGGAGTTGCGGGGAATGGGCTTTTAAAAAGTCCTCCTTTTGGGGCAAACTGCTGGTTTAGGTCAATCTTCCACTTTGAGTCATGCTTCTGAATTGCCGCAATCTTCCATATTGCGTCATGCTTCCAGATTACGACACATGGTACTAGTTGCTACGTGATTATACGTAGAGCCTTCCAGATTGCGTCATTCTTCCACATTGAGTCATTCTTCCGCATTGTGTCATTCTTCTATTTTTAGTCATTCTTCCAAAAGAAAGAAATTGAAAGATGACAAACAAGGGAGAACAGGTATTCCCGCAACTCCAATAGCTCTAACTTCACCCTTCATTGTCGCCAGTCGAGCATCACACAAAAACTAAAGTTTGTGGGGGTTCAAAGACAACATCAACTGAACCGCCAAAATTGGGGGTGAGAGGGAGAGAAAGGTCGAACGCAACCACTGTGACTTTGAGGGGAGCCAAGTTGGTACCTGCCCATCCGACGAATGCATCCCATCCAGGTATGCATAAATAACAGCACGCCCCAAGAACCAAAACAAGCAAGTGCTCAATGTCAGCTTTCTAGCTAGCTAGGCGACTCAACTTCACAAGACGTATCGGATCGTACGACCGTTTCAATCCCAACGTAACATGTCCACAGCCGCAACCAATGTGGACACCATGTCCTGTCGTCAACTTCAACAGGAGTGCAACATGCGAAGTCTTAGAGCATCCGACAAGGCGGAAGTTCTCCGAAAACGACTCCGTCAATCTATGCAAGCAACTCGACCTCCTGCCAAGCGCCCCAAGAAATCCGCTGCTGATGATTTGATTTGTCCCATCAGTTTGGAGTTGCCCTGGGACCCTGTGACAGCTGAGGATGGACGTGTCTATGAGCGTGAATATATTGAGGAGCACATCAAGAAAAATCCAGGAAATCTCACATCCCCCATCACCAGAGAAAAAATGGGAACCCAGCTCTTCCCAGCCATTCAGCACCACAATACCATTGAGACTTTGGTGGAGTTTGGTGTCATTGATGGAGATTTGGCTGCCAAATGGAAGGAAAAGGTGGAAATGGAAGAATTGCTGAAGAAGGCAGCAGCAGGCAATGGAGAAGCCATGCACAGTGTAGCTGTGAATTATTCCTACGGCGACCATGGTTTCGTGCAACATGACAAATTGGCCTTCCACTGGTACAAGCGAGCTCATGAGGCTGGGAATGTCAAAGCCAAAGCCACCGTAGGTCAGCACTATCTACTTGGGAGTGGTGTGGCCAGGCAACAATTACTTGGGCTTTTTTACCTTACTGATGCAGCATCCCAAGGCTCAAACTTTGCGGCCTATGAATTGGGAATGACATTTGCCAATGGATTATATGGCTTGAGCGTGGATAAAACAGAAGCCATCCGTTGGCTGGAGAAGTCACTTGGGAACTGTCCCCATAAGCATCTGTGTGAGGATTCCAAGAGTGAAGCCCAGCAGAAATTGGACGAACTGAAGTCCTCAGTGCCTGCAGGTTCTGCGACCTCGTGATCTTGGTTTCTTTCTTGAATTTGCAGACAACTGGCATAAAGGCTCCTGTCACTGTGGAAGGATGGATGGATGGGTTCTGGTTATGAACATGCACACAGGAGCAGAGGATGTATCTGATTGCTGGATTTTTGTATAGTCTTTCGAGGCTGCAAATCAGGTGTTTTGGATGCAAAGATTAATTCATATTCTAGTTCTAGCTAGCTATCAATAGCCGCATGTCACTAGCACCTGATCTACAATATATGACTACATTAGTTTGGCTGGTGTAGCCTTGTAAACCTCGACCTTGGGCAGATATTTTTGCAAATCAAAAGAGCATGAGTGCAGATGAGCAGCACTCAACCCAAGCAGCTATCGAGCTAGTTACTACCAGAAGGATGACGGTACATGTCGAGTAGAAACTCGGCCATGTACTGTGCCAAGTGTCCCCAAAGCAAACCCTGGTGATGTGACCTGGACAAAGTGCAGGCAGTGAGCAAAAAGGCAAATGCTTCACTCCTCCAGCCACGGTCCACGGTGGCAGCTCTCCAGGTTGCGGTTTGTTTAATGCTAACCCTACTTTTACCGTTCAGGTGAAGCGATCTTCTCTCTTTGCATGGAGCTCGCTCGTGAGGTGGTCAATGGAGCCAACAACAACAACAACAAGAAGAGACAGCGCCGGACCCCCTTATTCGAGACAACACCAAGACAACAACCAGCCCGTTCACTGTGGACATATCACTCTGGACTGGAGCATTCAGCTCGGCGGCACACGAGATTCGCAGTCAGACCGACACCGACATCTTTGTGGTCATTAGACCATAGTTTGTTCTTCGTCGTTGCTCGGAGGCAGCACTGTTCGTTGACGGAGGTGGCACTTGATTCGTTATCTGCACCAAAAGGTTGTTTTTCTTGCGCGATCAAGGAGAGAATAAATTCGCAAAGACGCACCAGTCAATCGTACTGGTCCATCCGTGTCCAGCACCGAAAAGAATTTGGACAATATGGCCGATGAAGCCCCCCGAAAACGACTCCAGGAAGTTGAAGAAACTCCACAACCTGCCAAGCGTCCCAAGAAATCACCAGCAGATGATCTGATTTGTCCCATCAGTTTGGAGTTGCCATGGGACCCTGTCACGGCCGAGGATGGCCGAGTTTATGATAGGTTTGCTATTGAGGAGCACATCAAGAAAAATCCAGGGAATCTCACTTCCCCAATCACTCGAGAAAAAATTGGCACCAGACTCTTTCCGGCCATCCAGCACCGAAACACCATTGATACTTTGGTGGAGTCTGGTGTCATTGATGGGGACTTGGCTGACAAATGGAATGAAAAGGTCGAACATAAGAAGGAAATGGAAGAATTGCTGAAGATGGCAGAAGCAGGTGATGGAGAAGCCATGTGTCAAGTGGCACGGAATCATTCAAACGGTGTGGATGGGTTCAAGCAAGACAAGAAGCTGGCCTTTCATTGGTACAAGAGAGCTCAAGTGGCTGGGAATATCATGGGCAAAGCATTGTTGGGTTGGTATTATCTGAACGGGAGAGGTGTGGCCAAGCAACAATCACTTGGGCTGTTTCACCTTACTGATGCAGCATCCCAAGGATCAAACTTTGCGGCCTATGAATTGGGAATGGCATTTGCCACTGGAACATATGGCTTGCACATGGATAAAACAGAAGCCATCCGTTGGCTGGAGAAGTCGCTTGGGAATTGTCCCCACAAACATCTGTGTGCTGCAGAAAGGAACAAAGCCCAGCAGAAACTGGATGAACTGAAGGCGTTGGCGCCTGCTAGCTAGTTCTGCGACCTCCTGATCCATTTACTGACTACTACAGGCGAGGGCTCCTGTCCTTGTGGATGATGCGTGGAAGGGTTCTGTTTTTCGAATATGTGCACAGGAGCAGAGGATTTATCCGATTGCTGGGTTTTTATTTTAAATCTTTCCAGGTTGCAAGGATTCATCCCTTTTTTATGGTTCTAGTTAGCTAGCTAGATGCCAGCCATCAAGCAATGGTCGCATTCCACCTAGCTACTAGTAGCGAACGGTAGGCCATTTAATTGTCCTCAATGCAAACCCAGGCGGGTGATGTGACCTGGACATGGTGTAAGCGTTTGTCATGAGTGGGTACCCAGGTGCCTGGAGTGGGAGCTATGGCACTCACTCAGCCCAGAGTAAGAGGTGGCACGTATGCTTTTGTCACGATTTGTGACTATGGTTTTATAAGCCAGGCTAGCCTGTAGATATCATTGATACTTAGGCTATGCCATCTCTTTCAGAGAAGCTCACATTATCCAATTCATCACCAACACTCTCCAATTATCTCTAAAACCAATAGCTAGTACAATAAGCTAGAGCCCACAATTTTACTCTATCAAGCCTATCCTAGTGCATTCTGATCAGAGCCGAACCGTAGGCTCGAAAACGAAAGCGAAATCGCGACCAAGACGTTCGAACGAGGACGCTACCGTTCGATCGCTCGCAACGACCGAAGCCTTCGTTCGATCGTTCAACCAACACCGTTCGCTCGCATCGTTCGCTCGTAACGACCGAAGCCTTCAACGATCAAGGCGTTCGATCGCTCGTAACGATCGATCTCTCGCAACGATCTATCGAAGTGACACCGCTCGTTCGACAACAACAACGACCGATCGCTAACAGTCGAACAGCCGATCGTCCACTAACGTTCGAACGACCGAAACGGCAAAACGAACGTATCCAAGATCAACGAATCCAAGGAGGTAATCGACCTCACCAACGAGTCTCCCTCCTTTTCTTCGTTTGAAAACGCTCTTGACTATATCCGACGACGCAAACTCCCTCGGATTGCAAGACGACAACTTCCTCCTACGGAACCAGCATCTCTCCTACCATCACGGAGTAAGATGGCGACACAATTGGCTGCCGATTCGGCCAAGACATTGATCCTCATGCCGGTCCCAGTGCTTCGTTCTGACTACGTTGCACATGGCGAGGATCCAACCAACAATTTGGAATCCATCAAGGGCTCCCATGGAGAAACAAAATTCAATTACAGGGCGCCTTACTGCGGAGGCCAACTTGGCCCGCGAGAAATCATCCCACAAGCCATCCACTGTGTGGATGTCATTGACAACTTGCCCAATCTCAATAACATTGGCAAGGTTGTAGCCTTTAAGGCTTCGCTGTACGGAACAGCTTTGGAAAATGCGGAATTGGCACTTACCAAAGCTAGGACCGCCCTGGAAAATACCGACAACAACGTAGCCCAGAACCCGGAAAATACAATCCGCTACGGGAACTTTCGGAGCTACATGCAACTCTACGGAGCGCAGTTTGGATCACCTGATGATGCCCTGAATCAAAAGGATGGAGTTAAACTCCTCAAAAAGCCAACAAAATGCCCTGTCGATCAGTGGCACACCATTCTTTTCAAGAAGAACAAGGCACTTGCATACTGCCAAGGCCATATCAACTGGGATAAAGAAGCCACAGTACAGATTCCCCTGTACACAATCCAAGAAATGATATCCATCTTCTTGGGCTCCTTCCCTTTGGAATGACGCAACAAGCTTCTCGACCAGAATGGAGTCGATGTCAAGACCCTCACGGTCCCAACCATTTTGGCCCACATGAAAAAAATGGAGGCTAACTCCATTGCAGCACAGGCTGCCAACACAGCCAAACAGATGGCTGAAGGAAAAAACAAACGCCAATACGACAAGACTCGAGGCGACAGAGATGCTCCTGGCGGCAGAAGCAACCGCTCCAGGAACCAAAATGGCCGCAATAACAAACGCAGCAATGGCACAAGCAACGGCAACGGCAACAAAACTAACCAGGACAAGAACTGGTGTAACCATAGCCGTTGCAAAAACCTTCAGACCAAGCACCTCTGGAAGAATTGCTTCTGGAACCCAAACAACCCACGCAACAAGCTTGGTTCCGACCAAGGCAATGATGCCAACAAAAAAACAAAAACAAGCCACAATGGCTGCATTGCCATGCAGGTCGATGACGACACTGGCACTGCATTTAAGGAAGGTAAGGAAGCTTCTACAGCTCCCCCTCTATCCGATATTACCAACACTATCACTAACCAACAGCATCACTTTGATTGCTTTCAACTTCAGGACCTGCTCCCAGAGCATATGATCCCGAGTTCAAATGCCTCCCAATGCACGAACGCTTTGCATGGTTGGCCACCAAAGACATGCTCGACCAATCCCAAGTCCAACACCTTTGGATGCGGGCCGAACTCAAACGAATTGCCCAGGACTGAATTTTTCCAGCCTGATGTCCACCAACCAGGTTCCCTGGATAGTGTTTGCAATGCCATTTCTATGGCTCTGTTCGATGAAGAAGAAGAATATTTATTAGGTCTCCAAGACCGTAGTGATAGTGATAAAATAACAAATAAAAATACAAAACATATTAACTACTCCCATAGTAGCGACATAGATGAACTAGATCCCAACACAGGGACTGTCATTCGAAAATATACACAACCAGGAGATCCCATAACAACACATGAGATCTCGGCAGGCGCTGACACTCCACTGTTGATTGTCACAATAAATTCCATTCAAGGAATCGAATTTAAACGACCCCTTAGGGCTCTCGTTGACTCTGGATCTAAAAGATCTTTCATATACAAAAGTGCCTTGCCAACCACAGTCGTCCCGGATTCAGTTCCAGGAATGACAACCACACTCCTAGATAGAGTAACATTAATAAATAAACGAGTCACTCTACGTGATATAGTCCTTCCTGAACTCAACCCAACAGCACACATTACAAGGCCTACTTTTGCCTTTGTAGCTGAAGCTCAAGCTTCTGGCTTTGACATGATCCTAGGTCAAGATTTCAATATCCCACTAGGCATCGATGTCATCAACTCACGCCAATTTATTACATGGCGAGGAGATCAGGTCCCTTTCAGGACAATGGTAGCTCCTACCAAAAAATTTCAAGCCATGCAACAATTGTACATGGAAACATTCTCTCCTGAAGAGGCAGACTTTGAACCAACATCTTGCAATATTGCTGAAATCATGTCATCTAAATATGACAAGGTGGACACTGATGAGGTAGCAGAAGCACAAACCCATCTCACAGTCAAACAACGACAAGAACTGAAACTCCTTTTGAGACAGTTCCCAAAACTTTTCAGTGGCAAGCTTGGCTTGTACCCACATCGAAAAATACACTTGGACATAGACCAAGATGCTACGCCAGTACGTCGCAGACCATACCCAGTACCACAGGCTCACCTCGAAGTCTTCAAGCAAGAACTTGAACGCCTCTGTGAAATCGGAGTCTTGAAACGAGGTGGTGCTTCACGATGGTCACTGCCAACCTTTGTCATACCAAAGAAAGATGGCAGAGTTCGATGGGTCTCTGACCTCAGAGAGCTCAACAAAGTAATCAAACGCAAAGTATATCCACTTCCAAGGATATCAGATGTCGTTCGTCGACGCACAGGATACCAGTTCTTCACTAAACTGGATATCTCAATGCAATATTACACATTTGAATTAGATGATGAGGCCAAAGAAGCCTGTACCATCAATACACCATTTGGAACCTACCAATACCAAAGGTTACCAATGGGTTGCTGCCAGTCCAGCGACTATGCACAAGAGATCATGGAAGATGTCCTCAAAGACATTCCAGAGATCGAAGTCTACATCGATGATGTTGGCTGCTTCACCAAAAATTGGGAACAGCACATCAAAGTCTTGGACATAGTCCTCTCTAGACTCCAAGCAAACAACTTCACCATTAACCCACTGAAATGTGAGTGGGCAGTCAAAGAGACTGACTTCCTAGGCCTCTGGTTGACACCAACCGGTATCAAGCCATGGAAAAAGAAAGTCGATGCCATCCTCAAATTGGATAGCCCTCAAGACCTCAAACAGGTTCGTTCCTTCATTGGAGCTGTCAACTTCTATAAGGATCTCTATCCTAGACGGTCACATACCTTGGAACCACTCCACAAGTTGACCGGCTTGTCCAAGAAAGACAAGTTTAATTGGTTACCAGAACATCAAAAAGCATTCGATGAAATGAAAGCAATCCTTGCCCAGCAAGCATTTGTCCGATATCCGGATCACAACAAGCCTTATCACATCTATACAGATGCAAGCGACCTTCAATTAGGCGCAGTCCTAGTGCAAGAAGGCCAGCCAGTGGCCTACTATAGCAAGAAGCTCAATGCAGCTCAACGCAATTACACCACTATGGAAAAGGAACTATTAAGCATAGTGTCTACATTTCAAGAGTTTCGAACACTCTTGTTTGGATGCCGAGAAATCCATGTCCACACGAACCACAAAAATTTGACATATGCTAACTTAAACTCACAGCGAGTTATGCGATGGCGCCTCTTCCTAGAGGAATTCAACCCCAAGTTTCATTACATTGAGGTGCAATACACGGCTCTTAGCCTTATTCGCGACTCGATCCTAGATAGGGTTTGAGTTCGACTCATGACTGAGTCTCTCGTGAATAGTCATCTGAGACAGCTCAATGCCGCGTAGTCATACTAGGTTGATGATGAAACATCGCTCTAGATATTTACAGCGTGGAGTACTTCCACGCTACTAGATATGCTAGCAGACCTTCCACGCGTTCGTTTAGGTACGTGGAGAAACGTAGG